AAAAATTTCTTGCTATTGCGCAATACTGTACAATTGACAATTTCTTGCTATTGCGCAATATTGTGCTATTGGATATTTCTTGCTATTGCGCAATACTGTGCAATTGAAGATTTCTTGCTATTGCGCAATACTGTGCAATTGAAGATTTCTTGCTATTGTGCAATACTGTGCAATTGAAAATTTCTTGCTATTGCACAATACTTATTATATAATAATTTACACATCCTGTTTGGTGTGTATCTCCTACCATATCATTATTATTTGATTTTAAATATAAATCAGAAATAACCAACTTAAAATGGAAAATTTTAAAAGAAACAAAAAAGGAAAAAAAGAAAAAAAAGGAAAAAAAAATAAATCCCCCCCAAAATTTTTTGAACCCCCATTATGATTCATCACCCCCAAACTCAATCCCAGCCTTCCCTTTGTGGTATGGTACCTTGCAGTACAATTTCAGAGAGATCCATACACTTGAACACAAGTTATTGTCTGGAAACTAGAAAAAAATGTGTTTTTTGGCCCCTTTTTGGCCCCAAATTCCTAAACGTTTAGGGCAATTACCCCCAAACTCAAACCCAGCTTTCCCTTTGTGATATGGAACCTTGTAGTACAATTTCAGAAAGATCCATACACTTACACACAAGTTATTGTCATGAAACTAGAAAAATGCTTGTTTTTTGCCCCTTTTTTGGCCCCTAATTCCTAAAATTTGGAGGCAATTACCCCCAAAATCAATCCCAGCATTCCTTTAGTGATATGGAACCTTGTGGTACAATGTCAGAGAGATCCATACACTAACACACAAGTTATGTCTTTAAGTTACAAAAATGCTTATTTTTGGCCCCTAATTCCTTTACTGTTATTACCATAACCCCCAAAATCAATCCCAACCTTCCTTTTGTGGTATTGAACCTTGTGGTAAAATTTCATAAAGATCCATTCACTTAAACTAAAGTTAGAGTGCGAAAACCAATGTGTCTTCGGACGACGCTGGACGACGACGACGACGACGCCAACGTCATACCAATATACGACCACAAAAATTTGTTTGCGATCGTATAAAAAGGTAGTGTTAGTAGCTATAGAGTTATGTTCATGCTGCGTGTTTGTTTTGTACGATCGATAATCAATCATTTGTAAAATCCAATTCGACCAAAGAACAGAACACTGATTGTATAGTTTTGTGGTATTTTTTTAAGGTGCAACAAAGAACACGAATGACATTCACAATGTAAAGAAAAAAAGTTTGATATTTAATGATGTAATAATGAATCTTAAAAGATTGCTGATATAAGAATGCATTGTTTGTTTTACATCCAGTGGCGAATAGTTCATGCATATTCACTACAAGTCTATCCTGACTGCAAAATTAATGCCACTGTTTCAACCTTCATAATTTATGCTTTTTAACCTATTTTCGTTGACAACTTTCAGTTTTCAGTTTTCAAAGTTTCCGTTCTTTAAGTTCACATGTAGATGAATGGAACCAACAACGCTTGGATGAAACTTTTGCCTTTTCATGGTAAAAGGGTACGTTTCAGTGTGGATCATTTCAGGCACAACACTGCGTGGAATTCTCTTTTGAGACAAGAGACTGCACTACTGCATGAAGACCGTTCTTCACTGTGACTCCCTTTCCAGTGGAGAGCATGCTTGTTATCCCATCCAACACAGATTGTATTAACAAACCAAAAACAGTGCAAGGTTCTCGTGTGCCTTAAATGTGTATGGCCATTTTATTTCTTACAATACCCAATGGGTCGTATGGTATTATATCCAAAGGAAAGTGTACCAGTAGTTCAAATTTTCAATCACGTAGAACTAGAATCAATTAATCAGATTTGGATCAAGACAATGACTTAACATTGTGGAATTTTTGGTGTCAGGACAAATGGGGTGACGACCCCCAACTTGTCAATAATATATAGTATATGAAGTACAAAAAATTGAGATACTTATCATTTAAAGCCATACTTTTGAGACTTATGGACGTACTAATATAAAACACAGATCTATATAAAAAGTGAGATAGAGGAAGCAATATTGTTGTCTTCCCACCCTAAAGAAAATGGTCCGCCGGGCGCAGTTTGATATGACCACAGAGGTAGAACCATGAACAGTTGGGGCAAGTATGGACACTACATTCAAACTCTGAATTTGGATTGAGTAAATATTTGACACAGCATAGGTGTCTGACATAGTATGAATGTGGTCAAAGAACTGAAAATTTTGAAATTTTACTTTTATCTATTATGGTCCAATATCTAAAATCTAAATACACGGTTAGAATCAGCATAATTAATTATCCAAGTACACCAAGAATTTAATTTATTTATTTATCAATGGACAATATTAGCTAAGTTTTTAAAAGGGGTTCGCTTCATGAAAAAATATATATATATATATAGCATTCTGAAAATTAATTTATACAGAATAACAAACAAACCTACCAAGAAGTTCTTTAAAACATTCACAAAAAAAATGGAAAAAACAATTTCAGAATTTCATTCCTCATTAATACAATGTCTTCAAAAAGTCTATAAAACTTACCTGCAACTATTTTTCAAAATATATAATAATGAACAGTAAATTTCAAACTATATTCATACATAATTTCTTCTCTAAAATTAGAATTGATGCTGCATCTATTTTTAACTATGACTCTACTTATAATTTTTATTAATTGTGCAATACAGCTCAGAATTTGGATTGTGATTAAATATTTGACATAACATAGTTTCTTACACAGAATGAATGTGGTCTTAAAACTTAAAAATTGAAATTGGACATTTACCTATTATGGTCCAATATCCAAAATCTAAATACATAGTTAGAATCAGCAGATCAAAGAACCACCAAGAATTAAATTTTTGTTGAAATAAAAAAAAGTTTATTTTTGGACCCGATTGAAAACTGGGCCCACAATCAAAATTCTAAATATATGTTAAGGTTCAGCATATCAAAGAACCCTTTGAAGATAATTTTTGTTAAATTCAAACTAAAATTAATGTTGGACCCTTTGGACCTTAATGTGGACCAATTTGAAAATGGACCCTACACTTAATAAAATGCTCCGCTGGGCGCAGCTTGATACGACTACAGAGGTCGAACCCTGAACAGTTGGGGCAAGTATGGACACAACATTCAAGCTTGATACAGCACTGAATTTGGATTGTGATTAAATATTTGACACAGCATAGGTTTCTGACACAGAATGAATGTGTTCTAAGAACTTAAAATTTTTTAATTTACCTATTCAAACCATATCATTATTATTTGCTTTTATATATAAATCAGAAATAACAAATTTAAAATCTAAAGTTTTAAAGAAAAAAAAAGGAAAAAAAGGGAAAAAAAATCCCTCTCCCAAATTTTTTGAACCCCCTAATGATTCATCACCCCCAAACTCAATCCCAGCCTTCCCTTTGTGGTATGGTACCTTGCAGTACAATTTCAAAGAGATCCATACACTTGAACACAAGTTATTGTCTGGAAACTAGAAAAATGCTTATTTTTGGCCCCTTATTCCTAAACGTTTTGGGCAATTACCCCCAAACTCAATTCCAGCTTTCCCTTTGCGATATGGAACCTTGTAGTACAATTTCAGAAAGATCCATATACTTACACACAAGTTATTGTCATAAAACTAGAAAAATGCTCGTTTTTGGCCCCTAATTCCTAAAATTTTGAGGCAATTACCCCCAAAATCAATCCCAGCATTCCCTTTGTGATATGAAACCTTGTGGAACAATGTCAGAGAGATTCACACACTAACACACAAGTTATGTCTGGAAGTTACAAAAACGCTTATTTTTGGCCCCCAATTCCTTATCTGTTGGTACCATAACCCCCAAAATCAATCCCAACCTTCCTTTTGTGGTATTGAACCTTATGGTAAAATTTCATAGAGATCTATTCACTTAAACTAAAGTTAGAGTGCGAAAACCAATGTGTCTTCGGACGACTACGACGACGACACCAACGTCATACCAATATACGACCGCAAAATTTTTTTGCGGTCGTATAAAAATCAAGGAACCCCAATAATTAAATTTTGGATGAAAAACAAAGTTAAATTTTGGACACTTTGGACCTCAGTGTGGACCAATTCAAAAACAGGGCCTAAAATCCATATTAGGGCCATAATCCCAATCTTCCTTATGATGTATGGAACCTTGTGGTACAATGTCATAGAGATCCACACATTTGTAAAGTTATTGTCCTGAAACAAGAAAAATGCTTGTTTTTGGCACCCCAATTCCTAAAGTTGGGATAATAAACCCCAAAATCAATCCAAACCTTCTTTTTATGAATTATAATATGGAACCTTGTGGTACAATTTCATGGAGATCCATACACTTATTCTCAAATTATTGTCTGGAAACCACATGTCTTCTGACGATGCTGACTTCATAACATTATACAAAAATTTTGCAGTTGTATAAAAATGTCAGCCTGCCAAGTGAGCTACACTCATGACAAGTCATAACTTAAACAATTTGATTATCAAGTGTTTTATCTCGATGAACTTACTATATATTCTAAACTCTAGTTTTAGTTGTATCATTGATTGAGTACACATGAAATTAATTAAATCCTGAAACTTTTAAATGTTTGTCTCAAGTCAGAAATGCAGTTGGTGTCAATCACTGGCTCATCAAGTTGGCATTAAAAAAATTTTGTGCTGCAGTCAGATATTTGATTTTCTGTTCAATTTATTTTGTAAGTTTTTAGACTCTGTGGACAATTTAGAGGATGTCCTTTCACATAGGTACTAGATCAGTGCTGATTACCATATAGTACGGTGAACTCTCAATGTCTATGTTAGTGATCTTGCTGTTAGGCAAGTGTCTCATCAACTTTTACATCACATTAAGAGATAGCAATTGGTGTGTGGACAACTAACCATCCTTGAAAGACAATATAGTCTATACATCTATAGGTGTCTAATTAGGTTCATATGAAAATACCTTAGATCAGGTAATAAATAACACACAGAATTAATGCTTCTGGCATTTATTGTGATTTTCAAAAAAAATAAATGTCTTAGAGACTAGAACATCTGGTCCTTTGTAACATATACATAAGAGCTGCCTTGTAAAATTGCATAACAAATTCATCATGGATCTGCACCAACATATCCTCTCAAAATGAAATGAAATACTGCAAAAGTTTTAATTTTCACAGCATCGTAACAAATATTTCATAATTAATCTTAGTATTTATCAACTTATAAGTACAAATTAGTATCTAATCAATATAGTTACCATAAAAACTTATCAGATAATCATGTAAAAAAAACTTTAAACTATTGTACCCTTTGCAAGCTTCTATCAATGGTACGGATAAACCTTTTCAATTTTCCAGTATTTTATGGACAGTTTGTCAATAAATGATAACATTATTAAGAGTACAGTGTGACTTGAAACAATAATATTTTAGAAAAATCATAACTGAACAGTATTTTATCTTTAAAAGTGCATTCTATAACTAAAATTCCTGTGAACATGCTGGAACAAATCTCAATAAGAATTGTATGCTGGAAAAATTGGTACATTAAGTTTTAACTAGACGTAACAATTGAACAATATCTAAATATTAATTACACACATTTCAGGAACAAATGTTTCAATAAAGTAAAATTTAGTAATCTTTAAATTAATTATATCATCATATCAATTTTATTTGTCGAATTGGTTTCATATTTTGAACATGCCTCTTAAAAGTTCATTACTGCTGAAATTGTACATTCTTAGATTCTTTTTTAAGATGTTATAAAAACTGACAAACTGTATTTGGATGTCTAACAAGAAAAGGCAATAATACATTGATGTGTTTCTTTTATTTTGGGAAAAAACTGCTTGTTAAAAATGAAACAAAAAGAATGAACACCTTCGGATTAATAATACCTTAATGATTTTAATACTTTCATTTTCATGGACGTTTTCTTTTTTCAAGCAAAAAATGTGATGGGATGATTTCTTTCATGAGACTTTTGACATTTCAAAAATGAGGTAATTTTTAAACAAATAAATACTGTATTAAAATAGCAAAGCAGCACCAATCTGAAAAAAAGTTGTGGATTATTTTTCCAAGGAAAAGATTTGATAAATGCATCCTTTTTTTTTGGCATGAGAATGTTCATCCATATCATTCTTATGCAAGGTCAATATTATAGAGTTACCAACTTGCTGATTTGGTATTGGCCCATGTATCAAGGTCTGCTGTATTGGTCCCGAGGGCCACTACAGCTGACCGAGAATCAATACAGGACCAATACAGCAGACCTTGAATTAATACATGGGCCAATACCAATATGAGCTGATCTTTTGAATTCCATAATAGTCATTCTAATTTTAGCATATAAGGGCCAATTTTTAAACTTATTATTTAATAAAAATATGTATTTTGTCTCTTTCATTGACAACTAAAGCAAAAAATAAGCATCAGCCATCAAAGGGACATAATTCATTCTATTTAACGAGTTGTATCAAAATAACACATTTCATTTCATCACCATATATGATGCAAATATAACATTGAAATTGGGAGTAAAACATATTTTATATTTTGATACATTTCTGACCAACATTATTAACAACATATTTGCAAAATTATACTTCGACCAAATCCTTTTATCAACACATATATGTTAAATTCATATCTAGCGATGCATATTTGAAAAGTGTTAATTGTTTTTTTAATCTATACATCTAATAATTAATCTGTCACATTAAAACAAAATATTATCTAGCAACACAAAATAAGTACGATCTCTTGCCTTTTCCATGTTCTGAATACAGTGCCATATATTCTCTTTACAACAAAAAGAGAGAGTATCTGATAAAAAAAAATAAATAAATAAAAATTCCCTCAACCATAAAGTAACTGTAAAACATCTTCTTTGCTACAATAAACTAAAACAAACAGCCTATACAACCAGAAAAATTGAACAATGTATGAACACCGACAATCATAGAACAAAAATATGTATAATTTCTCATTTAGAATTTTATGTAGGTAATTTTTAAAACTTTGAATTTTATAAAGAAATGAACAATACTCATTTCAAAATTCTGGTCAACAAATTAAAATATTTCTTCAATCAGTAGAACCATACACCTTGAAGTCTAGTTAAAGAATACCATCTGTCAAGGCATACTGCTGAACATAACATAAATGATGTTTCAGCATTCATTTATAGTGTTGTCTTAAAAGGCACACATAATTTCATTACAACTGCATTTGAATAAAATTTAGTCAAGATAATGACAGGATGATATAGAACACTGGAAATTTGCTGTAGATGTATGGAGATGATGCAAGATGAATTCTGATGTATTTGGCCTATAGGAAACCTTCATCATAAGTCATGGTCAGCTACACTCTGCTTCAGATATTCTTGATAGAGTTTTTGCTAAAATGAAAAAAAATTATATAAATAAACCATCCCCTTCCAACATTAAATCCTAATTCATAATATATCTGTGAAGATGCACTAGGGTACTTAGTCATATTAACGTCAAAATAATGAAATTACATTCAAATAAATTCTTTTTCAGTTGACGCCTCAGTAGTCTCTTTCTAATCTTAAGTGTGAGAGGTAATGGTTTTAATTCTGAGTCAGGTCAAATACTTGAAAAATTTTTGAACTTATTTTCCTTGTATAATCATACTGATCCTTTCAATATTTTTGGTTTGTTTTATTAGCCTATGCCCAAAGTCTTCTTCAAGTCATTATTTATGCAAGATATTTATTAAAGTATGCATTTACTTTTATATCCGAACATACTAGTAAAATTAACCCATTGTTTAAACCAGTGTCTACTTAGTTTTCATGAAGGCTGTTCCAGATTTAAACACATGAGGGGGTGATTGGATGGGAGGCCATCAAATTAATAAATTATAGGTGGTTGCATTTTCTTTAGAATTTTGTAAAATTATAAGTAAAATGAAACCCATCCCTCCCATGCATTTAAATCTGAAACAGCCATAAATTTTTAATATCAAAAAGTCATTTTGTTTACATGGTGCATGAAGCATACTACTGTGGATTCATTTTTATTCGTGGTACACTAATTTTCCTGGGTTTCGTGGGTCACAGCGAACCACGAATTTAAGAATTCAACGAAGAATAATCCTGAGAAATGTGTATGGAGTCGGATGTTTATTTCCGGTTATGTTATGCAGTTCTAGTATAGTGTTGACTAGCGATAAACATTGTAACATAACACGTGTTTTTAATGAAAGAAGAAATAAGTATTTTGATTAAATCAATGATTAAATCAATAATAAATATATTGAATATCAGTGATAATTTACTTTTTAAAATTGATTAAAACTGTTCATGGAAAATAACTGCAAGTTGTTAATTACCGTGTCATAGTTTGGTTTACTGGTGATTAAAAATCAATAGGATTAAGTACGGGGATATTGCTCGTAGGTAATATTGTTTATGACAGGAACATTTATTTTCACACCTTTAACTTATATGACTGTTTATTATATCGTGATTAGGGAATGAGCTTTCAATCATAGAGTTTTGAATGCCTTATAAAATTCCGCCAGAATTTATAAATTGTAAAACAAACAAATAATTAGTTGTCTCTGTCCATTATTGTAATAGAAGTTTTCAACGAACACTTTAACCTAGAATGACCAAGCGAGGATTTTGACAATTCAAAACTTTTTCAATGAATTCCTTCTTTTTTGTTTGTTTTATTATTGATCAAACCAAGGATGTTATATGATCTCCTAAATCAAAAAGAAATCCACGAATTACGTAATTGATTTTTTTTTAATAATCAGCGATCCACGAATTTACGTATACCACGAAACGTCTTTTTTTCTCTATCCACGAAAATTGATACCCACGAAAATAAATGAATCCACAGTACCATATAGTTAACATTTTCATACAATAAAATAGTACCTTTTTAGATTTAACAGTATTCTGTACATAATCCCTGACTTCCAGTAAAGATTTTTTCTGTTTTCTTGATAATGTAGGTTTTGTCCTGTAAATAAAAAAAATCAGTCTTGTAAATGTTAGCAATGTAAAACTTTCCGAATTGTAATAGTTATCAATAAGAAAACAAAGTTGCATTGTACCCAAATAAATGAAGGCATGAGCATGTTGGGACCTTATTTATTGATTTATTTTGTTTGTAAAAGAATACAAGCAACACTATATAGCACTGTTGATTTTATATCATTCTTGGATTTCCATGTTAACAGTAAACCACTAATTTAAATATTCAACGAAGTATAAATTTTTTCTAGGCTTGTATGCATACTTTGGCAAATTCACCGATCCTTGAAAGTTGTTACTCCAGAAAATGAATGAATAAAAGGTAGCCAATACTAGTACTCATGGCATGAAACCTCTTCAATCTGATCTTGCGTATGGATGTCTTAAGTCTTCATCATAAAATAAGGTGAGAAATATATTTATTGCTTCCTAACTTCGTCTTTTAATAAGGAAAGTAGTTCCTTGCATGAAATTGGTTGGGTACCAAATTTTGGTGTTTTTTTCATGGCCTGTTAAAATAACAAATTAAAATATTGCCTAAAATTTCTTAAATTTCTTTATCAAACTTCAATGAACGTAGTTAGGTCAAAAATAGGTCACTGGAACAAAGACATGATCTTTCTCTTTTTATTTAGAGTGTCTATTTTTGTCTTTTCATTCAAGCATTTATGGTAGTTTTGAAACTCCATTTTACTAAACAATTCTCTGTGAATAAAGGTAGATAGAAAAACATCAAAAATGTAGATTTCACAAAAGAGTTGACTTACGATGAAGCAAATTTTGCTATTAGTAACATCACCAGGGCAACACCCACTATTCCAATTATAACATATTGTGAGTATTGTGCAGGTACCTTCTGCCATCCTCGAGCTAATGGTCCCTTTAAATGAAAATAGAAGTCATGAGCATTCTTTCAAAATAACACTGTACTATAGCAGGAATCAAAATCATAAATTTATTAACAGAGTATAAGTTTTCACAAATTTGAAGATTATCCTAACATTTCTGGATATTTTGGAGTGAAGGACTTAACCCAACGGTTACTAGACCTGCTTTCGCAGTTGGCGAAGCAAGTAAAAGGTAAGATTTTTATATAACTCTTAATAAATGTTTCGGTTCTTATATATCCTTCACTTACAAATATTCTGCTTTGAGCGTTCCTGATGAAGGTATATCCAGAAAAGCTCTACGGACGCATAAAATTTATAAAGTGTTGCTTTCATTTTTTGAAGCATTGAGTCAATACTGTTCCACTGCTGGTGAACTATCACAGTCCTCGAGGGTATAATCAGTTCAGTAATAAGTATTTGGGTATTGATATGATTTAAAACAAACCTTTCTAAAATTGTCTGTTAATAAATTTAGAAATTATAAAGAAACTAAGCTTTCAACTCTCTTAGCAAAGTTGACCTTAGATTTTTTTAGATTCTTTTTGGTCATATAGCTCTTCTACATCCATGACTTTGAGCGTTCCTGAAGAAGGTATGTACTAGAAAAGCACTTGGGATGCATAAAATTTGTAATGTGTTGTTTTCATTTTTCAATAAAATCTTAGAAGTTCTTGGAAATCTAAGACAAAATCACAAAAATCGCTTTTTTGTATGCAAGCTATTTCAAAATTTTAACCAGTAATGATTAGTAAAAATATTTTTAGATACACAAATATTCCAAGAAAGTCTGGATTAGAGAGAAGTGTTTTCTTAATGGAAGCAAACAACTTTGTTTTGTAGGATTGTCATTTCATTTCACCGTACTATTACCTTAAAAACATTGTTACACACAATTTGCGTGTTTTTGTTATAGGAGAATAAACAGCTGTGCCATGAGTGCATGATACGCCCGTCGCGTTTTCAAAGAATAAAATTCAATAACTTCTCAATATCATATCAGAATTTTATAAAAAACTAAAGGAAGGTTATCTTAATAGATATAAAGCAGTTGACAAAGTTTAATGAAAACTGCTATAAGCATTTTTGATTTATGTCCGAAAACTGGAAAATCCCCCTTTTTTTAATGAATAAAACCCCATAACTTGGAAACGTAAAATCTAAAACTTATAAAAATCGAAAGGGAGCTCATGTCAATAGCTATAAACAATTCACCATAGTTTCTTGCAATCTGCTGAAAGAGTTTGTGAGTTATTGACCGAAAACTGGAAAATCCCCCTTTTTTAAATGAATAAAACCCCAAAACTCGGAAACGTAAAATCTAAAATTTATAAAAAACGAAAGGGAGCTCACATCAATAGATATTAACAATTCACCAAAGTTTCATGCAAATTGATTAAAATGTTTTTGAGTTAATGTCAGACATGTTGACAACGGACAGACAGAGGTATGCCATAATATGTCCCATAAAGGGGCGTATAAAAATGATGCAATGATTTGTTTTGCCAAGCTTGAATTTATCAGTTGCAACTAAAATCAACATGTGTTCAACACCTACACATTCAAGATTACTATTAACTACTTTACAGGGTGAAAACTTTTCATAGATTTAAGATTGTGATCAACATCATAAATGTCACAGCAAAAAATGAACTACACATGATTATTATTTCTGTTTAAATAATGAAAATGTTTTGGAAAATCAATAAATTATCTGACTGATCATTACAATGCAATCTAAAATACAAAACATATCATTCTTATCATAAGAAAGGACTCGTGTCCTAAATCTTACCAAATATAAAGACAGAGTTGCCAGAATGTCTTCACCAAGAACTTGTACAACTTGAGATTTTGTGCTCACTAAGTAGGTTGCTAGCAATAACAATGGTAACAGCATGCCTATAAAACCAAACAATGCTCCACGGAACTGTGCTTTTAAATTCACAGAGGCTGTGACACTGAAAGTAAATAAAAGTTTTCATTGACTAATTATGTTTGCAGTATGTGATGCTGACAACAAAGCATGGATGCTAAATTGTTAAGGGTCTCTTAGCCCAAATTTCCCATTTTACCATGTAACCTAATATAATATAACTTAGCTACAAAGATATTCCTTTTTTTTATGCAACAAGTTTCCTACATATCCTGTATCATCATAATGTAAAATATGTTTTGTTTTAATTTATCACGAAATAAGGTTTTGCACGTCTCTGATATCTACATAAATAATGATAAAAAAGTTGTTTCAATGTTTTGGCACATTTACCGTAGTGTTTATTGTCAGCTGTCTTCATACTTTCACCTTTATAAAATATGTATGAAATATGAAGTGTTGTTACAAGTCATTACCTGTCTTTTGCTATTTTATCTTTAACCATTTCAGCAATTTGATCACAATCTTTCTCCAAGGAGTTGAGTGTAGTCTGAATTGTCTGGTTAATTGTCTTTTCTATATCCTTGCATACTTCTTCTATCTGATTGGCACATCTACTTCCCTATAGTAATAATAAAGTACCTTAACTGACTAGGATGTTAACAAGTACAAGTCATTCTTCTAGGTTTCTTAATTGCAAGATAAATTGTTGACACAGAGATGTCTCATCTGTATATTATTTCGACAGTATAACTCGTATAAATGGCAACAGTGAACGTTTTCAGTCTTTTTTTATTTTGTTATTATAATCATTATAAAAAACAGTATTTTTCTCCATTCAATCTTGAAACTTTTAATATTTTTTGTATAAATTAAGGATTCTACAACCGTGAAGGTAATTATCAATCATCAATTTTAAGATATGCAGAGTTAGGTGGATGCATCATGTATCCTTTCAGCAATCAACCCTAGATATAGCTTGCTTGTATGATGTGAAGAAACAAGAAAATGACATGGTGCCCCCCTAGTAGAATTGTCAAAACTTTGTAGGATTGTTAATCAATTAGGAAAGGTGTCTTTAGGTTTGGTATTTTAAGGCTCTAGAAGTCAGAAACATTAAACATAAATATTTTTTGTATTTTTGCCTTAGTTATATTCAGCTGAATATCAAAGGCAATCATGCAAAGTAATTTCAGTGTGCCTTGCTTCAATGGAGACATAAAAAAAATTATGTAAAAATGCATTTTACATATTACCTACCTTGGAATTCATATTTGGGACATAAATTGTTGGCATGTCAAATCCTGTTCTGTTTAATCCAGGTCTTTTACACAACTCTTGGACAATCTGCATCATCACTCTCTGTAAATACAGATAGTTTATGACAACTTACAAAAAAAAAATCAAATTTCCATGATTTATCTCCTTTTTTCACTCAATGGGAAGATTCTTGGACATCCTATTTTATGACATTTACGAAAAATCAATTTCCTTGAATTATGGCCCTTTTCTGAGACATCACATTTTGCGAAATTTATGTTAAAAATCAATTTTCTTGATTTATCTCCCTTTTCAACTCATCAAGTGAATTTCCAAGAAGACAGATTAAAATCTAAAATATATTTTTCCACATTTCAATCAAAGGATACAAGATCAAGGATAGTTATATTTGATTTCGTTCAGTGAAAGTTACATGTTACCTATATGAGCATTGAATAACACATAATTTATTTCATAAATTTTTATAATTGTTTGATCCAAAATTTTTATTTTTTTGGTCTATTAAACCTGCATATTCACTGGACAAACTAGATTAAAACCTGTGCAATGATTTTTCAGTATAGGATAATAAATGTTGCATTCAATTTAATCAGTAAAGCTTTGAACTATTTGTGAATTTTGGTCTTTCACAATTTTCTACTGAATTTATGTCAAATATTCTATTGAATTAAAATTTACTTACCTGTCTATCACTTTCATGTCCTGCCTCATCAGCTTTGCTGAGATAAAACCTAATCCTCTCTGCATGTTTATGGTTAAGTTCTTCCACTAAGTTAAGAGTCCTCTTACATAAAGCCTGGCCAATAGGATCAAAGAAAACAAATATCAAATCAGCTAAGTCACCTGAAATGGAAAAAGTTGAAAGGCTTAAAGAACTGAATAATGCATCCGTTTGTATTGGATGTTATATCCTATTTCAATTCAAAAACAAATATACAATATTAGGTCAACGTCAGAAAAATATCAACTTTTTTGTACGATGCTTAGAAATTGGGGAAGGGCAAGGTTTATTGAGCCCTTACACTGTTTCATGCCGAATACAAAAAAGATGATATTTTTCTGACAATGACCTAATATTGTTTTTATACTGCAGCTAAAAATGGCTATAATTATCGTTATGAAAATGTAAACACAAAAATAAAATGTATTTCCATTGCTAAACGAACCCCAGATTGTTAAGAAAAACAACGTGACATGAAATCAACATTGCACGAAATATAACATTATTACTATTATAGGAAGATAAAGACAACAGGAAGTGTTCTAGCTGCAGTATAATATACATTATTACCTATCAACACTTAATATAAGTATTCTCAAAATATACCAAAAATTTTAAGTCAATGAACCATGACTGAAGGTACAGCCCCATATATTTTCCAGGGAAATAAGATATGCCAATACTAATACTAATACACCAATCTATCAACACCTATCTTTACATAGGTATCCTCAAAATATACCAAAAATTCTAAGTCAATGAACCATGACTGAAGGTACAGGGCCATATATTTTCCAGGGAAATAAGATATGCCAATACTAATACACCATTCTATCAACACCTATCTATTGTGACGTAATAACATAAGCATAATGACATAGGAAACTTATGGGAAGTGCACGAATTTCAAAAGTTGTCTATACAACTACATACCAAATATTATCGGTTTATCAAAAGCGGTTCCCCTTCAACTGACATAATCAAAAACTTTAAAAAATTGCTGCTGCCACCACTGGAATAAATCTCACTTTTTGACTCCGTCAAGAAGAGACAAAATTTTTAGATGTATGTCTATTGCTCCATTTTTTCTTCATTAAAGATTAATAGGTACAAGTTGTTCTAACATCCAAAAATTATTGTCTTTTAAAAAAAAGACAGTAAATTTTTTTAAATGTTAAATATCTAGGAATGTGCAGTTTGTACATATTGAAACACTGCTTTAAAATTATATGTCTATGCATTTACTGTGAAAAAATTTACCTAGTTACCCACCTAATGCCATCTGAGGGTGGGTTACAAATGGTAAATACATTTCTAAAATCCAGAACTTAAATATTCAACTGGTGTGGAAATTAAAACAAGAATGCACACAATGTTGTGTTAAACAAAACTCTCGTTCGTAATTAAATTAAATGATCAGAAACAGGAACTAAGTGTCTTTTTAAAATGATCAGAAACAGGAACTAAGTGTCTGACAGATACGTAAGGCACACATGTTAAAACTGATTCATGTGTGCTGCAGACTACTGACTACTGAATATGAAGTCATTATGTTTAGTAGCATTGGAGAAGTGTGGGACGGAAATTTTTAAGTTCGTTCAACATATTGGAAAATTATTAGCAAACAAGAAGTACGTGTCTGACAGATTGGGAAAGTCCACACACTTTACAACTAATCAATGTCAAGCTGGTGACCAAATATGACGTCATTCTGTATACTAGTTATTGAGAAAAGTGCAATGAAAATATTTGTTGGACAAAACTGACAGACAGACAGAAAAAGTGATTGCAGTATAGCCCCCATTTTCAGATGGGGGTATAATATTCTTTTCACTATACACTTAAAACTAAATATTTAGATTTTCATATATTACCAAGCCAGAGGATGGACTTGTTGACATCAAATGGATATTTCATGTCTCCATCTACAAGCCCTGGTGTATCTACAAATGTGACTAAACTGAATTTCTTCTGCTTTGATGTGGAGATTTCTGTTGTGAGGTAGTCTGTTACACCTAAAAGTGAAGAGGGTAGATTGTCATTCAGTATTCAGTATATATCTCAATAATTCTTGTCTACATACACTTTAATTTGATTGGTTGTTAAGAATTTTTCCCATTGTTTATTCACATTGATATACCATGTTGCTGAAACTTTTCGTAATCTTGTAAACTCTATGCCACCTTCAAAGTGATATATATTTATGCACTATACAAAGGAAATGAATCCACGAGTACTAAGAAAGTTGAAATTTAAAGAAAAGGAAAACAAGAATGTGTCCATAGTACACGGATGCCCCACTCGCACTATCATTTTCTATGTTCATTGGACTGTGAAATTGGGGTCAAAACTCTAATTTGGCATTAAAATTAGAAAGATCATATCATAGGGAACATGTGTACTAAGTTTCAAGTTGATTGGATTTCAACTTCATCAAAAACTAGTTTGACCAAAAACTTTAACCTGAAGCGGGACAGACCGACAGACGGACGAATGAACGAACAGATGCAGACCAGAAAACATAATGCCCATCTACTATCATAGGTGGGGCATAAAAATGTTTTTTACATTGAGAATTATAAGATGAAACACATTTTTTCTAGAGATTATTGATGTGTAAACTGGGCAGCTGACTCACAAACTTTACACAATAGCAGAGTTCTGGTGCAGGTCCAAAGGTTTTGACCACCAAAATTTTGCAAAGGACCAACACACAGAAATAATAGCGAGGACTTCAAGCACTAGTCCAGGGGAAAAAAAGATTTTGATTCTAGTTTGTGAGTAAATAGCCCAATTAAACATCAATAACCAGTAGAAGAAATATGTTTGTACATTGCACTTTAATAGATTAACAAAAAAAATTGCCACTCATTTTGGGGAACAAAGACTTTCAAACAGGTGACTCAGTCAACTTTGTTAAATTCAAAGTAATTAGGGATTAATAACTAAAATAACTATGCTGACTGATGACTCAGCTAATTTTAAAACAAATTAGGCTATGTAAGAACTCCTTTACAATTGGGGACAGGATGTAGTCAATGTTGAGCAGCAAACCAGAAAACTCTGTCAAGAAGGTCACGAAAACCATGAGATATTCAAATTGATTTGTACATTTCTGTCTACATGTACATACTTAGATCTTAAAGTTTCACACTCCCACCTCAAATCAGTATACTAAAACAATTTTATTCACTAATATGACATGTAAATGCTCCATTAATACAGTCATTCATCACATTTTTTTACAATGACATTCGTAGGACTATTCAAGGGTAAAATACAAACAAGTACCTTCAATTCTACTCAAAGTGAACTGTATATATATATGACATGTATAACAAGGTGAAATTTTCTATCATATGAGTCTTTGTTCTCATCAATATTGATTTATCATTTATTATAATTACGAATATGCATATATCCACATATATATCAATAAAATATTTGCATATATATACAAAGCTTAAAGTATATAAAGAACAATAAAATATGCCTAGGTGAATAAATGCAAGTACAATCATTTCAGTGTCCTCTTTGTTCAACGTCTTGTGTCAGATGTTGGTTGAGAAGTAGAGGGTTAGAGATCCATTCTGATGTTTGGTTTGAAGTAGTATTTTAGAGATCACAGCTGACATGGGTTGTAACTACAGCCCTTCATTTGGCAGCTCTCAGTTATAAACAAGAGATAGCTGTCCAAAGGAAGAGCGGTAGTCAGTCTATCTTCTGAACAACCGTCTAATAATCTCTTCTCCAACTCAACATTTAACAAGCTTTCTTTTCCATGATACTGTTTTTTTCTCTACATCATTTTTTCTCTGGACTGCTTGATCATGATGGTCCCTGGTCTTGACTAGGTTCACCTCTAGTACCAGGTTTCATTTTGGTGTAACAAAATATAGGCAAGTGCAGATGGAGTTTGAACCCAGCAGTTGTTTGACAAATCTATTTTACTCAAACTACATCTTCCAAAAAACTACTGTTATAAATAAGTCCATCATGAATTTTCTTGTTTTTCTGCATACTATGCTGCTTTAAATATTCTCCTTCTGTAGGTAAAAACTGGCAGCACTCAAGAATTATCATCAATTTTGAGGTTTATCATCAGTTTTCAGCAAGAAAAATGACATTCTAAATAGAATGGAATGTTTCTAAGTAGATTAGGTTAGCACTTAGAGCCTCTTGTTCTTGAACTGTTACACAAGTGAATAACTCAAATTGCAAGTGCATAAATGACACAGAAATTTCTTTACAGTGCTCATGAGATGAGATGTTGCTGTTCTGGAGAATATATTTTTGTATCTTTTTTTTTTTGTCCAAAACTTCTAAATAGATTGCTTCTCTTATTTTTGCATTTTTATAAGATTGCTTTCTCATTTTTGTATTATTTATACATGACATGTACTTATCATGGTTAATCTTAAGGATGTAAAAATTGTAAAAATGCAATCAGCTTTAATCCTTTTGATTAGTTTGAAGTTTCATGCACCGTAACAAAAGCAGCAGCTTGATGCTGAATTATCTGAGAACAAATTCATATGCAGGTGTGGAGTATTTATGAAGTCAGCAGTTAATCTTTGGCAAAGTCAGCTAAAGAAGGGAAATATAAATCAATGTTTTTACCTGAACATATGTTTGTACATTTTAAGCTGATATGCAGTATCTTGGAACATGCATAGTCATTCTATCTTACAATGATCACAATATTTATTAACTTTGTACATAGTTTAAGAGAAACATAATGCACTAGGTGCCTGAAGACTGTTTATGGTTGCATGTTTTTCACAATTACAATTCACAACAGTTTGGGCTGACGACAGCTGGGGTGACTATGTTCAGTACAAGATGTATTTAGAAGGTATGGACACAGAATTCATCTTGTTTCCAAGATTCTTTTTCAAATTTATTTGATTTGACTTAGGAAGAAAGTAATGTACAATGAAGTGAGTCAAGTAAATTCTGAAATACTTAGCTCAGCAAAGCTTGCTCCCTTTATTTTCAAAATTAAGAAAGAAAATCCCAATCCTTTAATCTTGACTGATACCAATTTTGGTATTATTTCATCTTAAGTCATGCTGCTGTTAATCTGCAATCCATCTATGTTGTGTTTCAAAATGACAGGACAGCTCTTCATCAGGCAGCTTGAGTCAATTATACCAGGCTACCCAATGATGAGCTGCCAGTCATGTCAATATCTCCTCCTCCTTGAAGCTTGTCACCTGAAATCAGCCAATTTCTTATTTCATTTTTGTTTCATCGTGATCCTTGGCTTAAGTATTACTTCCATGTATGAACTCATCCCTTATAAAACTGCCACTATTATCAGTAACAACTGGATGGAGAATGCCACTGTTGTTACAATAAGCCAGCCATCATTCCCTATATACTGTAAATCAACTAATTTTCGCGAGTGCAAATATGTAAAACTTGGATATTTCCTTATTTAACTACAAGTAGATTTGAAATTATATCACTGTGCAATGGGTTAATAAAAAGGGCTAAACGTGAAATGAAATATCCTCAGAAATAATTTGGTTTACAGTAACTCAATACCAAACCACTTAACAAACATGATAAATAATAGCCACATCATACAGGACAACACCATTGACTAAGTCGGATTTACAACTGACGACAGTGGCTGTGTTTAGTATAATACCTTCGATACATGTGTAATCATCCTTAAGCTGATCTGATCTATATCCAGTTTTAAGTGTGAATCATTATGACTCAAAACCTCAATATTGATCTTAAAACAATGTCATTCATACTTCAGCCAGCATGTACAGTAATGAAATGCATAAAACCCACCATTTTTACAATACATTTCTGAAATTTCTACATAAAAATGTATTTCCTTAATTTTTATGAACATATAAAAAAAAATTCTTATATATGTGAACACCCTTTTAACAATAACTGATTCAGAAACTGTTTCAGGAAAAATCTTTGCAGTCATATTAACATGCAATAAAACTTATTCGATATTTATCCTATTTTTTTCATCCTGTAATATATCAAGTCTTTTATTAAAAGACCCCACAAGGAAGTCGTATGTAAATATGTGCATAACCACATTTAACCCACATTAGATTTAAGCAGGAAATAGTCACTCCTAAAGTCCTTTGATTGGCTTCTTTAAGTTACCTTCTTATATAAAGACAATAGCTTTTATAATGAAATTTATTATTTATTAACATTTTCATAGGTAATTTCCTTACTATTAAAAAACATGTACACCTCAAAAATTTCCTCCGTCTGCATATTTTCAGCATATCAATTGTCAATTTCTTATAAGGTGATAAATCCAGCTAGATCTGCCTCAAATTGAATACATAATTGATGTTTTTCAAATTATTGGTATCAGCTTTAGAATTCTTCACCATGCCCTTCCCAAGCTTGTATATATAGCTCTACTAATTACAAAACTCCTCAATGATTAAATGACAACCCTGTTATTTCCAAATTTACACAGAAGTGGGCAAAAAGTTAGCACAAATTTCAGAAGGCACCCAATGTAGTGGACGTTTCATTTCTTTCTTTTTTTTTCAATACAAGATTTGAACATACAAACCTCAGAAAAATGAGTTTTTGTACCTATATAGCGATTATTTATCGGAAAATCTGAGGTGAAATTTTGGTAGGCAGGAGTGGGCTTCCTGTGGTTTGCAAATGAAAGGACAAAATCTGCCTGTACTATAGTGAAGGTTTATTCTCATACTTTTACAGACTATTTCTTCAAATGGTTTCTGATATTTACCAATTGGTCCAATGAAAAACCTTCAAAAGGATTGTTACTACTACGAGCACAATTTCATAAAGTGCAGCTCTTTTCCTTTTCACTTTCTCTATTTCACTTACCTTCAATTTGTCTTAAAGGTTCAAAATGTGGATACAAATGTAGTGTGGCATTTCCCTGGAAAGAAAAAAATATACAGATTAATAATTCAGCTTTTATTAAGATGGTTTTCTTTGAGTATTTACAAAACATAAATCAACCATTGCTAGGGACATTCAAAATACGCTCTGTCACTGATAAATAAAACCAAACACTGACTTTTCATTGTAACTTCTAAGAAATATGACACCAACTTTTCATTGTTATTTCTAAGAAATATATGAACTAAATAATGAACTTGTTGTATACAAGGGTATTAAAATAGAACATCACACATATTTTTCAACATTTACACTTCCTTCACAGCATGGTCTATAATGTTTTTATTACTTTTTTTTACTTTCCTTCACACATGTATGAGCTTACTTTGTAGGCAGTGGCTAATAATAAAGCTCTAGATTATTTTTTTATGTTTGCATGCATCTGTTGGGCTCCAGTCAGGTAATCAATAACTAATTAGAAATATTTTACTCTGCAAAATACAGAAAATTGGAATAGAGATGGGAGATAAACATCAATGAGACAGCAACCAGACAACACAAAACAGAAATCTAGAGGTCAACATACAGATTTCAACAAGACTTTATTGTCTACACCATATATGTGAGCTCAGGTAAATTGTCAAGTCTAGATAATTTGTGCGGAAATTTTTCAAAGACTACCAAACAGATCTTATATCAATAAAGCCCTCTTATTTTTTAATTTACAACTGACCATTTAAAAGTTATCCATATGAAATCCCTGGGAGCATGGAAGCTTGTCTACAACAGTTACTCTATAATCAAAGAGTCCCTGATTAAAATAACTGCACTTTGCACTCGCTGTTCAAATACAAAGTACATAGCTTAATCAATTTGTTTACATATACATCAAAGAATGTGCACACCTTGGATCAACAGGTGCAAAAAAAACCTCAGGTATGTTCATAATATTTAGCAAAACAACAACGCAATATAATAGTCAATGTCGAATAGCTGGCATATTCGTGATCAATAATATGGGACTTTTTATAATATGATAAATTGGCTGGAAATATATCGATAGAGCAGTATTGTCTCTACAATTTTTCACACAATACAAATAACAAAAGATAGTGTGCAAGTTTACATGTACAGATCACTGCTTTGTAATATTAGGTGTCCTGTAACAGGGACAGACAGGGTGAACAACCTTTTAAATGTTAACCATATCAAAAACATGATTTTCCTGTTCTATATATTTTACTGATAAAATGAACTTATTCTTTAGCCAGCCATTAATTAAAACAAAATTGCATGATATAATTTTTTTTTTACTTGTATCTTTCAAATGTCAAACTAATTTTTTGTTTCGTCTTATCTTAATGTACTTTATTTAAAGTGAGTAGTGACTTAACAACTGAAAAGTTTCATCAACATCGATATCACTATTTAGGAGTTGTGCTCACATGGCATATGGACAGACAGACATTCCTGTTTGTCCTAAAAAAAAAAAAAAAAAAACTTTGCTAAGGGTATAAAAATGTTTGAAATTTTTTTTAAATCTTAGAACTAGAAACGTGGTAGTAGTTGTACCCTAGATTAACTTTTTACCAAAACATTGTTGAACATGTATGTGGTCATTTAGACAGTGTTCTCCCAAGGGTCAGTCCTTTAGCAACATGGTTTAGTGATGGACATTGTATAAATAGTTATTTTATAGATTGTTTATAAATAGTTATGTTATAGATTGTTTATAAATAGTTATTTTAAAAGATTGTTTTCTATATCAAACATTGACGAGTCCACTATTCCTCACATCTCAGTTCAGTTGTTACCCATCATCTTGAAAATTAAAAACAGTCAACTTAATTTCATTGTTTTTCACACTATGTTTATGAATGGAGATATTAAAGTACATTAGGTCAATATTAGTCATTCTTTAATGTTCAACTGTTTGTACCAACCAGACCCAGAAACCTACTGCACAATGGACCTGATAATGTTAACTAATCTCTCTGTTCCAGATAAAATACTTAATAAAATGATTATGCATTCTTTGTTGATAATTTTTTTTTTATCATCTTTTACATAAGTCATGATATTTACCTCTGTACAATATTTGAAAGGAGTCAAGTGTCCCCCCTTACAGAGTTTTGGCATGGTGAGTCCCCAATACATTATTTAGTTTAGGTCCCCCATTCCCTATTATTCTTTCTAAGTGTCATCCTTTAAAATTCACGACTACCATCACAGCAATACTGTCCTCCATCCTAAAATAAATAATTCTAGGGAACTTATAGTGTCATCCTAGTTTTAAACATTCATTGTTAAAACTTTTTAAAATTTTAAGAAAGCATTGGTTAAACCCTGCTCTTCTTTTTGCACAAAAACAGCTGGAGTCCACCCTGGCCAGAGTAACCAAAATTAATTATTGAATTTTTCACTATTCTGTTATACAACATACATCCCTTTTTTCGGTTAAGGCTACATAAATTACTGACAAAAAACAACAATTTCTTTGTCCAACAAGTAATTATACAATTATAGGTAATAAAGAACACATATGGTCTACAAATAGAACAGCAAATCTCGTACACCTGATGTACATTTAGAACATAAGGCATGGAGTAAAATATGACATTGGCATGTTGGGCGGTATGGAGATAAAAAGTGTACAAGAATTAAGACAGAAATAACTATTGATTCAAGTCCAAAACAGGCAATTAAACTGTCAACAACAACAAGAATGTGTTCAGACTAAATATCCAGTACAAACCTTAGTGCCAGACATTGACACACAATCCAGACAACTGGCATATACCACATTTTACTCCTGCCAAACAGTAAATCTTTTCAAGTCAATCACAAGTATCTCAAATATGCAATCATAGCCTCTTATTACTGATTGTTATGTTCTAATTTTAAAGACCTGACTACCTTTAGAACTAATGAGTAATTTATGTTATGAATTATTATATCTGTCTGTCAAAAATACACGAAATTACCTGTTGACCTACTGATACACTGACACATAAATACATCTTATGTAATTTGAGGGCATAATGAATATCAAGTGTAATTCTTGCGGAACATTTAAATTGAAAAGCATGTTTAATAAAACATGCATCTTAACCTGCTTTATTGAGTTTATCAATTTACATTTACAGAACACAAATCAAGTGGTTATGTAATAATAAGTTATACGATAATCTAGAAGTGCAAACTCTAATTTCATTGAAGATGATCTATAATTGACACTAAGCAGGGTTTCTTCTTTATTTATTCGTTATTGGTTTTTTTGGGGTTTTTTTTTTTTACATATATCAGAAATGGAAATCAGGCATTTTATACAATTACTAGTCAAATTATCTTTCTTCTTATGAAAACAAACCTCAGACATAAAACAAGTTCAATCTCTTTCAAAATTTGTATAACAATTAGAATGGTACTGATATTGCTCGTTTTCAAGTCAGATCACTTGTACTGCTGGCTCTCAAAAGCTTAGAATCCTCAGGTGCTGGCTCTCAAAAAGCTTTGAATGTTCAAGTGCCGACTCTCAAAAGCTTAGAATCCTCAGGTGCTGGCTCTCAAAAGCTTTGAATCCTCAGGTGCTGGCTCTCAAAAGCTTTGAATGTTCAAGTGCTGACTCTCAAAAGCTTAGAATCATCAGGTGCTGGCTCTCAAAAGCTTTGAATCCTCAGGTGCTGGCTCTCAAAAGCTTTGAATCCTCAGGTGCTGGGTCTCAAAAGCTTAGAATCCTTAGGTGATGAGCATTGTGTATAAGTTTCATAACATTTGGTTGAGGCAAACTAAATTTAAGGAACGGAAACGAATAATTCAGCAATTTTTCCATATGTAAAGGGGCATAACTCTAGAACGGTAACAGTGACCCCACCAAAATTCAAACTTGATCTGTGTTTTGTGGTAATAAGCATTGTGTATAAGTTTCATAGCATTTGGTTGAGGCAAACTAAAGTACGAGAACGGAAACTAATTTTGGGACGTACGGACGTACAGACGGACAAGGGTAAATTTCATGCCCCCTCTGCTACGGCGGGGGCATAAAAATATATTTTGATACCAAGCCCACCAGCTGGCTCTCAAAAGCTTTGAATCCTCAGGAAAAAATATATTTTGATACCAAGCCCACCAACTGGCTCTCAAAACCTTTGAATCCTCAGAAAAAAAAATATTTTGATGCCAAGCCCACCAGCAACACTTCATGCTGCAAGTACCAATTTCAAGGTTTGAAGTGTAAGAACCAGATTTTGAACATCAAGTTTTAATGCATTGAACATACAATGCAGTCTTCATGCTCAACCACAGGCCCACCAGCCCAGGCTTGTAAAAATGCTGTCAATCTCTACAGGCCAATAGGATGTAACTAAAGTTTTCATAAAATTCAGCTTCAGGCCTGTAGATTTAAAAGTTTAGCGTGAAGACTAACAACATCATTTCTCAAAAGGATTTTCAAAATGTACCAACAACCAACATTTTGTGGTCTTTTAGTTCTTAAATTCTATATCACAAATAATTTAAGCTGTCGAATTTTGAAAGTTCTGACACCTACTTCATATCTTTGTAAAAACCCAGCATTATAGTTTGGGTTTTTATTTCCTTTACCCATTTCCAAGCAAATCCCAAGAAATTTGCTACAACAATGATCAGGTAAAACACAAAATGTCTGTTTTAAACATTTAAACATTATTTAAGGCCGACTGTTTAAGGTTTCTAAACACAGGACATGTAACAATTTTACTAACGTTACCATTAAATTCTATATGAAATATTTCAAAGATGAATTGGGTCTGTTGGCTTAAATGTTAATTGAGAAGAATGTATATAGATGACCCCGATAATGCGAGTTTGACCTCTAATCACAAACAATACAAAAAAGTGCACCTACATCCATCATGTACACGAATCTGTCATATTTGGCCCATTGACCATTCATGTCAACAATTGCAGTCTACTATTGTTTTGTCTACAAAACGTATCCTTTAATTGATGAATTTTATTAGCAGGGGGAAATAATTTTGACATTGCACTTCTATAAAA